GCTCAATATTTCCTGCCTCATTTTCCCAAGTAGCTGAGATTATAGGCACAAACCACTGAGCTTGGCTTTTCCTCTCCTTATGAAGTTACCAGCCCTGTCATGGGGAACCCATGGGGAACCCAGTCTGATGACTTTATCTTCCAAAAGCCCCACCTTCAAATACCATCAATATTTGAATTTAAGGATTAAGTTTCAACATGAGTTTCAGAGAAGACATTCAAATAAAACCATGGCATAGCACCAGTTCTTCTCAAATTTTAATGTATGCATAAATGGCCTAGGACCTGGTTAAAACACAAGCTTAGATAGGGCTGAAGTGGGTCCCGAAATTCTGCTTTTCTTTAAAATTCCTGTATGAATATGATGCTGCTGGTCTGTGGACCATACTTTGAGTAGCAAGACTGTAATTACAAATAGTTAGTGTGGGACTTTAGTAGGATTGCAAGCCAGATGAGGAGCTGGACAAATACTCTAGAGGCGCTGTCTAGTAGGGAAAGGTCCTGGGTAACAGAGAAGACAAAGGGGCTAGGTGTAGGAAGTATTGTATTGTACCACATACTGAATGCTAAAAGTGATTCACGGTTGCCATTACCAAGAGGACAAGAAAGCTAGGATTGAGAGAGATGGCTACTAGCACAGACTCATTTCTGTGGCAAGGACCAAGTGAACTAAATGGCCATAGTTACCTGGGGAAAAGGTCAGGCACTGAGGATTGGTAGTCATTCCATGGTAGTTATATGGGCTCTAGAAAATGACCTAGGCAACAAGCAGCTGGGGTACTGGAGAAAAGGTGCTCTGCACTTGGAAGAAGAATGTTTAATACTATTTTTCACTAATCATAGGTGATTAATCCATAGATGAATCTTAAAGGATTCAGGTAGGAAAAGGTTGTAAATGGCTTGGCTAAGAATAGAATTAAAAACCCTTACAGCTAGTATCTACTTTGAGCCTAATAATTGCATATGCCTTTGAGCTAGTATCTACTTTAAGTCTAATAATTGCATATGCCTTTTCTTTATTTCATTGGCACCTAGAATAGAAGCTTACAAGACTGTCAAAAGATGTTATTGGTCTGTCCTTATTCTAATTATGTAAATTTGGAAATTATAATTTTTGCAGTTATGCTTTATACATTTTTCAAGATACTTTATAATTATTAGCAAATTTATTTGGAATAAGAATCTTTAAAATAGCATGATGTGAGTGGCAATTCTATAATAAACCACATGGATAAAAGTATTTATTTTATTTATTTATTTGGTGTTACTGGGATTTGAACTCAGGGCCCCACACTTGCTAGGCAGGAGCTCTACCACTTGAGCCATTCCACCAGCCCCCAAATATTTTATATTTAATCATTTTCATCATGGTTTAAAATAAATATTTTAGAGCACCCTAGTGGCTTAGATCCCCCTTTAGAATATCATCTTTTTTTAATTTGGCAAAATCTCTCAGAATATGAATGGACAGGAATCAGTCAGGGTTTCTACACTGATGAACAGTCATTTCAGATTACCCATCTGTTAACTTTTGTACAGGAACCTACAGAAGGATAAGAGGCATGCTTTACTGAGATAGACAGCTAAGTGAATACCGAGTCAGATAGCTTTCTTAATCTTTCTAAAACTCTGTAAGACTGAAATGACTCAATAGAATTCAAGATTACTTCTAGAGAAAATCAGCTTTGTTAATTAGGTTGTCTCTTTTGGTTTTAAAGGTGGGCCACCTGAAGGGGAAGCCTGAGGAGAACCTAGGGTATGGCATATGTTTTGTGAAGATCAAATTTCCTTAGATATCTTTACTTCTTACTGAGATCCAGGAAGAACTGGGTGCCAAGAAACATCAAAGTTATGAAAGTTGCTTGAAAACGAAATGTATAAAAAATAACCCCCCCACGCTTAAAGTTACAGAATTGAAAAAGAATAGTCACTTAACAAAGATGATCATTTTTATATTGCCTTAGGTTTAAATGATTGAATTATTAAAAAGCATTCAACAGGCTGCCATTCTTTGGATAATGCTATCTACATATTGAAATGGAGTGGTGCCAGTTAGCCTGCCATGCCTTGGGGGCATTTTGTGCAGAAAGCAGTTGGTAGAACTGTTCCTTTCCACCTGGGAATGATAATGACTAGACATGAGGTACCCATCATGTTTCATTCACCAACAGTCCAGAGATAGTCCCATGAGAAAAAGGATTTATCAGGAAAAAATGTATTTTCGTGCCTTTTTTGGGGAGAGGGCAGTTCTGGGACTGGACCTCAGGATTTTGTATGCTTTAGACAAGCACCCTACCACTGAGATAACCTGCAGCCTCATGCTTTTCCCCTTTGACTTTTTTGAGACAGAATCTTACTAGTAGCCCAGGCTGATTTCCAATTTGTACTTTTTGCCCAAGACTGGTCTTGGACCTCAGTCCTCCTACCTGTGGTCTCCCATTTACCTGGATTACAGGTATGCACCACCATTCCTGGCCCAAAATCTTGGTCTTTGTTGGTATTTATTTATTCAAACAGCTAATTTGATCACAGCACATCAGTATTGGATGTTGAAATGTAGTTATTTTCTAGCAGGGTTTCATGTCTGTGCCCGACTGGCCAGAATCCCTAGCTTCCTATTTTATACCTCCTGCTAGCTAGGATGACAGGCAGACACAACCTTGCCCAGCTTTTATGGATTGAGATGGGAGCTCGTGAACTCCCGTTGTCCACCTCCAGAGTAGCTTGGATTACAGGTGTAGTAGTCACTGACTCCAACTCAAACTATATGTTTTAGAATTTTTTTTTTTTTTACTGCTTTTGCAGTTCTTTTTAATGATGGACTTACTGAAGGCAGCTGGCTTTTCCTGTCTGTTTCTGCATTTAATGTTTGATATAATTATATCATGTAGCCTCTGGAAAAGGTCACTATGTACAGAGAATTAGAATTAAAAAGGCAGAGTAGCACCTTGCTATTAAGATGATAAAATAGTTTTTACCTCACTTCCCTTAGAAGCAGCTCTGTTGCTCAGGATTCACTTTGAGAACATCTGCTTTACAACATTGACTGTTACTATGTTGGTTGTTTTCATAGTTACTTAGTTGTGTGTAAATATCTGTTTTTACTTAGAAATATTTATTTCTGGTTTTGTCCTAGTGGTTATCTTCCTACTTGAACCTTTTTTTTTTTTTTGGTCAGGGTTTGAACTTGAGCCATACCCCCAGCCCTCGAAACTTTTTTAATTTCTTGAGTCCATAGTTCTTTTGTTTAAGCTTGTACTATATGATTTGTCAAGGTTTTATTTTTTTTCAAGCTTTATGGAGGTATTAATTGATGTGCTATGAATTGCCCATATTTAGTTGTTCCTAGAGGGCTCATCAATAGAACCAATTTAAAGGACATATGCACTACCCCTACAAGGTTCCTCTTTCCCCCTTTCATTCCCTCTCTGTCCCCCAAGGCACCTACTGCTCTACTTTCTTGGTTAGTTAGTATCTCCTGGAGTTTTATTTATGTAGAATCATACATTCTGTGTTTTTGTCCAGTTTCTTCTGGAATAATTTTTTTCAGTACTAGGGTTTGAACTCAGGGCCTCCACTTGAGCCATAACTGCAGTCCATTTTGCTCGGTTATTTTGCACATGGGGTTTTCGAAGTATTTGCCTGCGCTGTCCTTAAACTGCCATCCTCCCCATCTCAGCTTCTCAAGTAGCTAGGATTACAGGTGTAAGCCACTCTTCTGGGATAATTTTTAGTTTCCTGCATGTGGCCTATATCAGTAGTTCCTGCCTTTTTAGTGCTGAATAGTATTTCTCCATATGAATATGCTATAAAATTCACTTATCCTTTCACATATTACTTTACTTTTAGTATATATGCAGATTTTAGCTTTTACCAAAATATTGGTTGATCAAAACCAGGGTCTTGTACATGCTAGGCAAGTGCTGTACCATGAAGCTACACCTCCGGCTCTTGGTAGGTTGAGGCAGAATCTCTCTGGCTATTTAGGTAGCCCAGGCTGGCCATGAATTTTTGATCCTCCTGCCTCAGCCTTCTTCCCCAGTGCCAGGATTATAGGCATAGAGTACCACACCTTGTTTAAACACGTTTTTTAACACTTTAAATTTGACCTGCTCCAGAATTGGTAGAATTGGGAACATAGAAATAGGGATTTATTAATAGGTGGGATCAGAAGGCTTCTGTTATTCATTGTGCAACTAATGAGCTGGAAAAATAGACTTTCAGATCGTATGAAAAAGAATTTTTCATCTATGTCCTTACCTCATTTTGAGCTTAGTGCGTTGGTTACATATGTGTCCTCACTGGCTTGTCATAGTGTGTCTGTTTAACATAAGTCCAGGGGAAACAAGGAGCACACATTTACATTTTAGCTGGAATAAGGCTGGTGTGCTTAAAGATTTTTTTTCTTTAATGGACAGTTTTGTGCTCTCAGAGTCCTTGGTAGTGATTGGCATTTGCTCTCTAAGTTGGTTTCTGACTATTTTGGGAAGTCATTTGGTTTTTGTTTAGTTAATGCAGATGAATTCTATGTAGAGAGGCAAGGGGAGAAGGGAAAAAAGATGGAATTCTTCAAGCATGTATGGGTGTGCATCAAGAATTTCAAAGACTCTCAAGCAGATGTAGAGGGTGGGGAAGCAGCACATTTGAAGTCTTTCAACTGTGACATTTTCTTCTAATGAAGAACAGCTTGAAAGCTGTAATTTTGAGAGTTGCAGTATTTTAAAGTTAGACACTTAGAACATTTTTAAAATAGTGGTAAGATTTAGATGGTTTTTTTCCATCTTAAATGGAATTAAGCATTTCTGGTCATCATAGCTGATAGTTGCGAGTCTCAGAATGAACACCAGAGCTTTTAAAAATTGTATGGGCCACAGCAGCATCTCTTTATCTTCATTGTATTCGTGGTAAATGAAGTTATTTTTTTGTCCCTTTTAAACAGAAACAGTGTGTTTCCTATTTCTAGTTCTTCAAAAATGACCTTGAATTAATTTTTTTTTACAGCACATTTTTATACCTGAAATTCCTGGTAGTGTGGGCACTTGTCCTCCTGGCAGATTTTGTTCTGGAGTTCAGATTTGAATACCTGTGGCCATTCTGGCTATTCCTCAGAAGCGTCTTTGATTCCTTCAGATATCAGGGACTGGTATGTATACTAATAATACATGCTTTTCAACTATGAGAGATTTAATTACTCTTCTTAGAAAATCTTCAATAGCCGATAGTAACCTGTTTCAAGTGAGTTTATTAATGATACTAAGGTGATGGTATTAGGATGAGTTGATAGGGTCTATGGACTGAAACTGGCCTCTTAAGCTGTTTTGTCTAAACCTACTCACTGATGGAATTGTTCTATTTTCCCTCCTCTCTCATTCCAGTGGAAAGAAGGGATTGGGTGGAGGACTACGGTAGGGAGAAGATAGTAGTGGAGGAAGCAATAATTGCCGAGTCTTATTCTGAAGTGCTTCTGGAGTCCCTACTACTAGGTTAGCTACTGAAGTAAAGTTAGAGCAATGATTCTCAACTTTGATCTCCAGACCCTTTTACATTCTTTGTTAATGTGGGTTACATCTATCTGTATTTTCTAGACTAGAAATTAAAACAAAATATACAAATACATATTTATTAATTCAGTGAAAAATAACATTTTCACGTGTTAGTATAAAGTATATTTTTAGATGAAAAATAACCACGTTTTCAAAAAAAATGTAGAAGAGTGGCTCCATTTATTCAAATTTCTCTAATGTCCATAGAAAGTAGCTAGACTTCATAACTGCCTCTGAACTCAGTGTATTTTGATATCACATGTAATGTAACTTCTAGACAATTCCATCATACTTATTAGTGAACGAGTGTACAAAAGGCAAATAACTCCTTAATCCTATTATGAGAATAGTTTTGACCTCAAAGACCCCATGAAAACTCTTTAGGAAATGGATAGGAAGAAAAAGGGAGCTTTTCTGTGTTAAAAATTCTTTTTTTTTTCCAGTGGCAAAAGATACACTTTTATTTTGATTAATTTATTATATTTCAGGTGAACAATCTATATAAAATATGAAATTATAATATTTAGCATTTCTCTTGATAAAATTATTTTTGAAGACCCCAAACAAAAACTCAACTTACTTTTGACAGAAAATAAGTTGGGCTAGTGGAATAATTCAAGCAGTAGAGCACCTGCCTAGCAAGCATGAGGCCCTGAGTTCAACCCTAGTATCACCAAAAAAAAGAGAGAAAATTCTTGTTCTTTCAGGTGACCCACTTTAGGATCCATATGAGTTTACTGTGGTCCAGCCTCAGTTTGTTCTGGTCCAGTTTGTCTTCAGATTTAAAAACTATAATATTACTCTTTAATGTTGAATTAACACTGCTTTTCATATGGTAGATTTTAAATGTTTAAAATTTCCCCTTGTTAACTTGTTCTGTGTTCAGTAATTTTGTTCAGTAAGCTTTTAATAACCTATGCTTGAAAATAACAAGTTCTAAGGTATGTTTTTATTTTGTTTTGTTTTTCCCTTTAGGCCTTCTCAGTATTTTTCGTTTGTGTAGCGTTTACATCAAATATAATATGTCTGCTCTTCATTCCCATACAATGGCTTTTTTTCGCTGCTAGCACATATGTGTGGGTTCAGTACGTGTGGCACACAGGTAAGTCCTAATGGTTTCCTACGTGGACAGAAATCGCGACTCAAGTTTTCAAAATGCGATTTCTTTGAAAAAATTACCTAGAGTTGAGTTTATGTAGACATTTTAAAGTTGCCTTTCCCTACAGATGTAATTTTTTTCATTATATGAATGAAAAACCTAAGCTTTTGTAATTTGATATCTCTACTGTAGGCATTTCAACTTTTGTTACAAAAATATTCTGGTTTTTTTTTTTGTTTTTTTTTTTTAAGTTGAAGTGATTGCTGTTTTGGAATAGTTGAAGACAGCCATGTGCCAAATGAGAAAAATATTCATAGCATTTCAGTATTGAGAGGAATGTCAGAGGTCATTTTGGTGACTGCATAATTTGACACAATAATTCCCAGAGCATCCCTGGCAGATAGAGAAAACCTACAGGTACCTACATGGAACCTATCTGCCATTTTCTGCCACTCACTGTATACCATGTTTTGGCTGCTATAATAGAAAGTTGTTCTTCATACTGAGCCAAAAGCGTCCTCCTTATACTTTTAACTCAGTATGACTTAACTGTTTCGGGGCTCACTGATTCTTAGAGAATCCAAAAAGGCTTTTCCTAGAAAAATGTATGGGAATATACAAAACTTTGTCCTATAGTTTCAAGGGGTCTATGGACCATCCCCTCAAACCAAAACATTCAACCTCCACAAGATGAACATTCTGAATGAGTGTAATCTCCTCCCAGTTTACCATATTTTAGAGTTCTGAAAACCCTGTCATATCTTCTTTTCTGTAGGCAAAAACATCTCTGATTTCATATGCTTTTCCTCATATGGCATTTTAAGCATTCTCACCATCCTACTCTCCCTAGTTTTTAGTGGTTCTGTGTACTATATTTCATGTATGTTCTAACTAGCGAAGGGCTTCACAGTCACTTCCCTTCTTCTTAGAGCTGCACTGTTAATTTCAAACCAAGATCAAATGAGATATTTTGACAGTTCCAACCCACTGTGAAAACCTGAACATGACATGCACCGGGATTTGAGGATGGCCTCTCATAGTAATTCTTGTCTGCAAAGCTACAGGAAACTTGATTCTTAGGCCCTGTAGAATTTTGACCCCCAAGAGAATGACAAGTAATTAAAGCTCTCTGGAGGAACATAGAGGGTGATGTTGACCCATGAAGAAGACGCAATTGAGCCCTGTTACTCAGAGTTTCCATTGTGAGCACGGTTTTCTCCATACTTTACTCTCTTGTATCTGACTTGATTTAGTCTGTTGTCTAATAATATGTATCAAGTTTTGCTTTTATTTCCTTCTCCTGAGCCTCAGTTTCAAGTGAGATGCCACTTACATTCACCCCCCTCTCTAGGTCCCAGTTTCTTCTCTGTCACGTAAAGACAAAGAATAATGTTGAAGGGAGACTTCCATCTCAAATACGCTAGTGAACTATGCATATTTCTTTAATATTGTTTTAGTAGAGAAGAAACTGACCATGTAATTCTTAATAGAAACCTTAGTAACTAGTTCAGTGGGTAACCTATCAGGCAGCAGTGAAGTGGTGTCACAAAGTGATCCTGGCTTCTCTTCAGCCCAAGACTCAGAAATACACATTAAAATAACTTAAGTTGTAAAATATGTTTTAATTTGGAACAATTAGTGCTGAAAAAGGCAAACAAAATAAGACAAAAAACTACATTCTTATTGGGCCTGACAAATATGAATGCAACTTATATAAATTTTGGGCTAATTATTCTTCCAGTTAAAAAATTAAAATTCTTACCTAATATGAGGAATGGTTGATGAAATTATATTATAGCTATTAAAAGCCAGGATATAAAACTAAATTTACAACATGATTATTATTCTTGCTCAAAAATGCTTTCAATGTAGTTTCATTTATTTAATAGACATATAAATACAGGTATTTTGTCTAATTTTTCCTATTTTTTTCTGTAATTTGCTTATGTTTATAATAAAGTAGTACAGAAAGCAGGGAATAGAAGTTTTTGAAGTGATAATGAAAAATATATTGTGGTTTGCTGTTTTTCTTCCTATATTGTGAAAATACCTGTTTTCTGCATGTTAAGTCCATAAGAATGATTGAGGTCATTAGCTGCCTTCATAGAGCTTCCAGGGTAGACTTAATGCAGGGACTAGGCTTAAAGGTAGTTGAGTTTTCCTCAGAAGCCAATTCAGTACTATCTCTGAGAAATTGAACCCAATTTGTTTGAACTTTGGGCTTTACTTTTCTTGTCAACAAGATAAGAGGGTTAGGCTAAATGCTCTTTCTGCTTTCAGACATCTGTGTTTTTTCTTTAGTTTGATCCCATAGATCCATAACAAAAAGCCTTTGGGTCATTGGCTTTTCTTGCCCTCATGTCTATGTAGTGCACATTTGTAAATAACTCGTTATTAGTCATATCCTAATATAGATGAACCTAGTCTCCAGATGTTAATTTTAAAAGCTAATTAAGGACTGGGGGCATGGCTCAAGTGGTAGAGCACCTGCATAGCAAGTATGAGGCCCTGAGTTCAAACCTTAGAAATGCCAAAAATAAAAGCCAATGAAAAATTTCTCATTTTTTACATCTTATTTATTCTATTGAAAGTTCTTTTTTCTTCCCTTGAAAGTTGTTTTTAATTACAAAAAGAGTACGAGCATGGAGTTAAGAAAAAATTTTTTTCAAATAGTACTTAAAAGTCAGAATTTTTTTTTAATCCTACAACTCATTCTTGGTTTTTTGTTTTTGTTTTAATTTTTTTTTTCAGTAGGACTGGGGCTTGAACTCAGGGCTTACACTTGCAAAATAGGTGCTCTACCACTTGAGCCACACCTCCAGTCCATTTTGCTCTGATTATTTTGGAGACAGGGAGTGAGGGGGTGTCTTATGAACTATTTGCCTGGGCTCGCCTGGAACCATAATCCACCTGATCTCAACCTTCCAAGGCAGCTTGGATTACAGAGTGTGAGCACCACCAGTGTCTAGCACCTACAACTCATTTTACTTAAGAATTTTATTTTTTAAATATTCCATGATTGTACAGATCTTCATTCTTTAGAAAATGTGCATCAGACTTCATTGTATAGATTTATTATAATTAAATCTGTCTATGAACATTTAAATTAATTTAAAATTTTTGTTATTACAAGTAATACTACAGTGAATATTCTTTTTCATATTCATTTTTATTCCCCTTTAGTTATTTTTGAAGTAGGGTCTTGTTTTATGCCCAGGCTAGCCTGGAACATGATCTTCTTATTTATGCTCCCCACATGGCTGGGATGACAAATGTGAACCACCATGCTCAGCCTTTTTTTTTTTTTTTTTAATTTGTTAAATGGGGTCTCTCGAACTTCTTGCCCAGGCTGGGCTTGAATCTCTATCCTCCAGATCTCCACCTCCCAAGTAGCTAGGATTATAGGTATGAACCACTGCCTCCTGGCCTCTTTTTTGTATTTCCATAGGTTAGGTCCTGGAGGTGGAATTTCTGGGTTAAAAGTATGTGTTTTTCAAATTTAAATATACTGCCAAATTGTCTTCTAAAAAGGTTGTCACAATTTGTATTATTGTCAAGTATTAGAATAAAACTTTCCAGATGCCCTCTCTATACTATATTATCTTTTACATTTTTCCCTAATAGATTTTTAAAAAGGAATCTGATTGTTTTAATTTATATTTTCCTTATCAATAAGAAGTTGAACATTTTTCTTTTTTTTTTCCTTGGTGGTACTGGGGTGTTAACGCTGAACCTCCCATTTGCTTGACAAGCACCCTGATACTTGAGCCACATCTCCAGTCCTTTTTGCTTCAGTTATTTTTAAGGCAGGTTTTCGTGTTTTTCCCCAGGCTGTCCTAGACCACAGTCTTACTACCTAAGGCCTCCCATGTAGCTGGGATGACAGGCATGCACCACCATGCTCAGCTTTTCATGTTTTAGCAATCTATATTTCTTCTTTTATGACTTGCAAATTTTCTTCTTTTGTTTTTCTTTTCTTTTTTGGGGAGGGTGCTGGAGGTTGAACTTAGGACTTTGCATATGCTAAGAATGTACTCTACTACTGAGCTTCAGTCCCCAAACCCCAGGGTTTTTGTTGTTGTTCTTGTTGTTGTTGTTAATGTTTTATTTGTTCTGTTACTCATTCTGGCCTCAGCCCCTAGGTTCAAGCAGTTCTCTTGCCTCAGTCTTCCAAGTGCTGGGACCACAGGCATGCAGCACCATGCTCAGCTTCAGCTGCCTTTTTACTCATTTGTAGGAGCTCTTTGTCAGGACTATGAATCTTTTGCTTAGTTGTTTCTGTAGTATAGTGGTTATCACGTTTGCCTCACATATATTCTGAGTATTTTCTGCCAGAATGTTTGCCTTTTGTTTTTGTCAGTCATTCTGTGAAAATGTTTGTCATATAAAAGCTTTCAGTTTGGATCAAATTTCTTTTTAGTTTAGTTTAGTTGAAAGTCTTAATGAAAGTTACTAAAGTTGAGTCAGTCTCCCATAACCCATCTGTTGTGTTAACGTATCATTGATGCTTGTTTCTCTGCTGCTTTTCCACAGAAAGGGGAGTGTGTTTGCCTACAGTGTCCCTCTGGATTCTCTTTGTTTATATTGAAGCAGCAATTAGATTTAAAGATCTCAAAAATTTCCATGTAGACCTTTGTCGTCCATTTGCTGCTCACTGGTAAGTATTATCTATATTCTTCATGTATAATTCATATCAATGTAGAATGGCAAGTTCAACTGTGAGTTTTTTCTTAGAGGTTGTACATGAGCCCAGGAAGCTTGCTAGTAAAAAGCATGAACCCCTATGGCAGGTTTGGTGTTGAACAGCTGTAATCCCAGCACTCAGGAGGCTGAGGCAGGAGGATCAAATTCAGGGCTAGCCTGGAGTATATAGTGAGATCCTGTTTCAAAAAAATACGAAAACACAAGCTCTCTTTTCGGACAGATGACTGTTGAAATCTCAGCTCTGTCCCCTGATAGCTCTGTTGCTGAGCATGTCATATCTCTAAGCTTCAGCTTTCTTACCTGTCTCCTTGGTCAAGAGGAAACATGTAAAGAGTTTAACTTAATACCAAGCACATAAAGTGTCTGGTAAATGTTAACTATTTTTATTGTAATTGATAATGATTTTAAAAAGTCTTGATGAAGCTATATGGCTATTTTATGAAGCTTAAAAGAACTCAGAATTTCCTTAGCCCTTTTACAGAAGTAATAATTTTTAAAGGAATATTATTTCTTCTTAAGAAATGTAAATGAATATTGAGATATTTTTCCTTTAATTTTAGCCAGAAACATTTATGAACATGAGCTTGATTTCTGTTTATGTGTATTATGGAAATCACCATTTAATGTATGTTTCTTGTAAACACCAATTTTTGCTAATATTTATAGCAAAACAGGAATTGACTAAAAAAAAGAAATCTTGTTTCCAATATTTTTAATCTTTTCACAAATAAATGAATTAAATAAACCTGATCACTAAAATTTGTCACTATAAATTTGTAGTGAGACCACATGTAGACTAATTATAAATTGATGTTTGATGTTAATAAAGCTTTGTATGGGTTTTTTCAATGTTTACAGAGGCTTTGAAACAGTATTAGGCAGTCTGATGGGGTGAATGAAAATATTTCTACTTTCTATCCCAGAGATTAGAGTTGTAAATACATCTGTTTTAATTTGGTGGCACAATCCAAATGCTGGCACCGATTATCCTATGTTTATTTAAGTGATTCTTGAATTTATGTGTGATAGCGTTTATGAATTAATTTTCCAGTAATAGGATTGCTGACAATACTTAGGCAGTAAGAAGATTAAGTTAGTCACCTGAATTTGACCCTAACTTTTGGTGTTAAAAACTGAAGTTCCTTTTGATTTTTTTTATCAGTTAGCATGATTACTTGTGGCCACCCATAAAATCTCTACCCTTTTAGTTCTTATAAGCATAAAGATGTTTAAATTCTAATGCATAATAAGGCAGTTCAATGTTCAATCACTGTTGTGATTCTTTGAATTAGTTTAAAGAACACCAGAGTCTGATATGAAGTGTTCTCTTATGGTCTAGTAGTTCTCTTGTTCCCTGGGGGTTTGTTCTGAATGCAGCTGCTTCTAATTTCCACATGAAAATGTGGAATGACAACAAAAATGTCATTTAGATGTGACATTTATTGAATGCTATCTTCATCATCAATTAAAATTTGTTTTTTAATTCTAAGAATTTATTTTCTGATTTTAAAGTTGTAGATATCCTCATTAGCTTGATACATGTCTTGTTTGTTTTAAGCTTTCAATTACTGGCTGGATTATCTTCTTTCTAGTATTGGTTACCCTGTGGTGACTTTGGGCTTTGGCTTCAAAAGTTATGTGAGCTACAAAATGCGATTAAGGAAGCAAAAGGAAGTGCAAAAGGAGAACGAATTTTATATGCAACTTCTTCAACAGGCCCTCCCTCCAGAGCAGCAGATGCTACAAAAGCAAGAAAAAGAGGCCGAGGAAGGTAGGTCTTTACCCTAAAGCTGTCAGCCTAATAAGCTAGCCAGCACTTGGGAGGCTGAGGCAGGAGGATCAAATTCAGGGCTAGCCTGGAGTATATAGTGAGATCCTGTTTCAAAAAAATACAAAACACAAGCTCTCTTTTGGGACAGATGACTGTTGAAATCTCAGCTCTGTCCCCTGATAGCTCTGTTGCTGAGCATGTCATATCTCTAAGCTTCAGCTTTCTTACCTGTCTCCTTGGTCAAGAGGAAACATGTAAAATGTCTTTCAGAATTTTCTTGTCAGGAAAAACAGCCAGATTTTAGATTCTCCTGTTTTCTGACATTCCTTCTCAGGACCATTGTTTTGTTTGGTCATGAAATACAGAATGTGGATGAAATTTTTATGTTTGTTTATTTTTTACAGTACTGGGGTTTGAACTCAGAGCCTCATACTGATGGAGTATGAGCAACTGATGGAGGGCTCAAGTTGTAAAGTGTCTGCTTAGCAAGCGTGAGACTCTTGAGTTCAAACCCCAGTATCACCAAAAAAAAAGGAACTGTAAATTTGTAATTGAAGTAAGGGAAGAAGCAAGGTAGAATTGAGTTTTATAAGTCAAAATCTTCCTATAGAGCAAAGATTCGGAATGTTTGCTGTTGTCATGTTTCATATAATATAATGTGAATAAATTGAACCATTTCTAATAGGACCTCTGTCATGGCCATTTAACCAATAAAGACGAATTGACAGTAGTAGTTTTCTGGATTTGGGAGTTAGAAGTTTGAGATCATGTTTTTAGTTATTATATGTCAGAAACTTTTTCTCTTGGGTGGTACAAAAATATCTCTCTAGTAGACCTTTAACAAATTGGAATGGATAGAACCAATACAGGAAATTTTATAAAGTAGCCTAGTAAATGAAACAGACTTTTTAATACTTCAACACTGGAGATGAGAAAAAAGATAGATGTCCTATATCCTGAAATCACACTTCTTTTATTTCAATAACTTCTTTGTTTTCAGTAAAATGATTAGCAGTTTGTTTACTCCAGGTATCTTTTAAAATACAGCCTTTTAAGAGACTGATCTGCCTTTGTCCTCTCACTCCAGTGACTGACAAATTTGATTTGACTGATAATAAGTATGCCTTAATTATAAAAATCTAATCTTATTTTAAGGCCAAGCCTTTAATGGATTTATGTTCATAAATGATGATTTTCTAAATGTGCAGCTTCTCAAATGTATCTGTATTTGCTTCTTAAGTTAGCATAATGTGCTGTGGCTATTTCTTCTAAATGAGTTTATAAATTAATGTAGTGAATTTCTAAGCCTAGCTAATAGTTTGTTGAATCAACTTAGTTTACATTTTTAAAAAACTAAATATTCCGGTGTGGTGTTTTTGTTTGTTGGTTTGTTTTTGGTATTGTAGCAGCCAAAGGATTACCTGATATGGAGTCCTCAATTCTTATACACCACAACGGAGGCATCCCAGCCAACAAAAAACTGTCCACAACTTTGCCAGAGATAGAGTATCGAGAAAAAGGGAAAGAAAAGGACAAGGATGCCAAAAAACACAACCTTGGGATAAATAACAACAATATTCTACAACCTGTAGACTCTAAAATACAAGAAATTGAGTATATGGAAAACCATATCAATAGTAAAAGATTAAATAATGATCTTGTGGGAAGTACAGAAAATCTCTTAAAAGAGGACTCATGCACTGCTTCCTCAAAAAATTACAAAAATGCCAGTGGAGTTGTGAACTCCTCTCCTCGAAGTCATAGTGCTACAAATGGGAGCATTCCTTCCTCATCTAGTAAAAATGAGAAGAAGCAGAAGTGCACTAGCAAGAGCCCAAGTACACACAAAGACTTAATGGAAAACTGTATTCCTAATAACCAGCTAAGCAAACCAGATGCACTGGTAAGGTAAGTGTGCATGCTCTGTCCTTACCAATGCTTTTCAGTAAATGTTACATGATTTTAAAAAGCATACACTCCTCTGTGGGCCTGTAGGAATTGTTCCTGGTCAGATACTGTGACATTTTGGTGTTTGTTTTCCTTGGGTTTGTTGGCTATCTTGTGTCATTATCTTGACACATTGAGTTAACATTTTCTGGTGTTCTGAATAAGAGGTAATGGTGATCGCTCTCCACATTTGACAAATTTACATGCAACCTGATTCTTCAGGTGGTATTGAAGGGCACTTCTTTAGTCTTGTGCTTTTATGTTTGCATATCCAAAGTTCTTTTGGCAAAACACAAAAAAGAAGAATTTGTGCCCTGTTCATGCAACTCTCTGTCAAGCAGATACAGATTGGCAGGGGGCGGGAAGAGGGGATAAGAAAGTTGATTTTTCTACCTTGTACTTGTTTATTTTGTTTCATTTTTCTGTATTTAGGATGAGAATTAGTCATAGGTTACTCTGGAAAAGTTAGGTTTGAAAAGTAATAACATATTTCTAAAAATTCCATAGACAAACACAGTGTTAGGTGTGGATTTTAATAAGAAATGCTACTTTTCTCATCTTTAATTAAAAGCATAATGTGTATCACACTGACTGGTTCAGACTTAATTTTGCTGAATTTTGTATGACTTATGTTAGGCAAACTCAAACATGTTGCTTTTACCTCAGATCTTTACTCTGGAAACTGAGATCTGAACTGAAGCTTTCCTTGTTACGGGTAACTCAAGAGGGCAATTGTAACTCACCCAGTCCAGTAAGTTATCTTATATTCCACTTCCTTTGGCTCGCTTAAAGGCCAAGGACAGTTTGTTCTAGGAGGGAGGGTTTCTAGCATTATAAGTGTTATGAACTAGATTATTAATTTGTTTTAACTTTCTGATTGGCAGCTGGAATAAGGGAATTATATTTCTGTTCTACTACTATAAGCTCTAGTGGTTTCATAGCCCCTATACTACTCTTAGAAGCACACTGCTGATGATGCTGGGTGGCATCCACATCCGTTTATTATGACATTCATTTTGCCCACTTATGTGCTGCAGAGGAAACTCAGCAGAGTACCCTCCTCCAGATACCCAGGGGAGAAAGACCTATCAAAGAACCTTCTATTTCAAAGGAAATTTCCCACAAATCCACTAGATGCTATAGATGAAACAGCTGCCTCAAGTAATTTAACCTCTTTTTCCTGTATGGTTTTAATAATAGCAGTCAAGTCAAAATAGCTTTCCTCCGTTGGTTGTTGCAGAAAGAGCAGTCAAAGCTTATTCTTGGGCCCCAATTGTAATGTTGATTGACTTTACTACCTGATCTGTCTTTAGGAAAGATCAAAGAATCAGTGAATGAGGCATGGGGCTACAGTTTTTGTGCCTCTTGCCTACTCCTGGGCTATGTGCCTCTTCCTGTGGTCACCAATGTGTACACTGCCTTGACCTATAGAGTCCCAAGAGTTACTCTGTTTTACAGAACTATTTGTTGTCAAACAAATAAATATAAAATAGTATATTTGATTAGTCTTACAAACTTCCATAAGGGTATTTTCAACTTTTAATGTAATATAAAAGGATGATCTAAATATTCCAACAGCAGGAGAAATTTAGATAAATCATAATTTATTTGTGGACTTTTAATACAGATATTATAGTCATATTTTTGAGCCTTATTAAAGAATATGGGAGAATATTACTGACATAATGTTTCATGAAGAAAGGAGAAATTAAACTATCTTCTAATACACAGAAAAAGGGCTTTGAAGGGAAAGGCAAAATGGTAATGAAAGTTATTACTCCATGACCCCAGTTTGAGAAGTACTGTTTTTGAGGAATCAACCTAGAGACTTTTAGGGGGAAAATGAATTACTAGTCCATGACTTTCAAGAATTCTTGTAGGTTGGTGTGACTATCCAGGTTACCTTTGACGGCATTCCGTGTGATGGGGCCAGCAGTCTGCAAAGCTCCTACAAAGCTCTATGGATATGCCCTAGGATGCATATATCCTTGGGTTAGCAAACACTGCAATACACGGGGCAAATCTGGCCCACTGTGTTTATAAATATAAGTTTTATTGCAGCATAGCCATTGTCATTCATGTACATGACGTCAGTGGCTGCTTTCGTGCCATAGTGGCAGAGTTGAGTAGCTGTGATAGGTACTGTGTGGCCTGTAAAGCCGGAAGTATTTACTCTCTGGCCTTACTCAGAAAAAGTATGCTGACCCCACTTATATAGTACTTGCTTGCTTTAAGGATCTTTTCCCTTCAGTAGATTGTGAACTCCAGAGGGTAGAACCAGGGGTCTCTTCATTTTTATGCTTCTCTATAAAAATAAAGTTCTTAGTGAATGTTTGTAGAATAAATGAATAACATGGAAATGAGGAACTGAGTATACAGAGAAGGGCTCTAGTTTCTCAGAAAGGTCAGATGATGTGGAGCAGAAGGTGCCAGAGAGATTGCACCTAAAGGAGTAGGGGCAAAGGTGGGGAAGTTGGGAATAAGTGTTTCCTGTAGGTTCTTCTCTGGAAGTTTGGGAACTTGCCAAAACCAGTCCAAACTTCTCTTTCGATTTGACAAATACATATCTTACAAAATTACCCTGCTTTTCCCAGCTTTATTTTTTTAATTCTTTATCCAAGGTTTTAAAAAACAGATGTATAATGTTGGTAGCCAAAGATGTTTTTATTCCTAACATGGCAAAAATCCTAGCCAAACGCAGAAAAAGCAAGGAAGAGGAGTTATTTTAACTAAGTTCAATGTCAGAAAGGAACAGCATAAATCAGAGTAAGGTTTGTTTAAATGTTTTTGTTGGTGGTGTGCTGGGAATGGAACCCAGGGCCTCACCATGCCAGGCAAGTGCTCCACCTCTTGAGCTACACTGCCAGCCTGGTTTGTTTAAATTTTTTTCTAGTGGTCAATTTAAAAATATTTTCAACATTCCCCACCAGAGTGGAACATTTGCTACAATTTAGGAACTTATTTATATAGGCCCAGAGTCCATAGTTTACATTAGGATTCACTCTTGGTGGGTATACATTCTACAGGCTTAAACAAAGTTTACTAGTATGACCATTATAGTATAATGCATAAAAATCCTATTCAGCCCTCTCTTCCCACTAGCCTCTGTCAAGCAGTGATTACTTTTTTTTTTTTTTTTTTACTGACTATAGTTTTGCCTTTTCTAGAATGTCATATAATTAGAATCATTGCCTTTTCAAACTGGCTTCTTGCACTTACTAATATAATGTAAAACTCTTGCCTATCTTTTCATGACTTTGTAGCTCATTTGTTTTTAGGGCTGAGTGATATTCCATTGTCTAGATGTACCATAATTTATTTTTCCATTCACCTACTGAAGGACATCTTGGTCACTTCCAAGTTTTGGCAATTATAAATAAAACTGCTGTAAACAGATGCTATACCACCATCATAATAAACCTGACATGTGTGAGTTGCTAGCTAGAGAGTGAGTTTGCCATCTTCTGGTGGAAAAGACTGGACCATATGGTCTCTTAGGTTCCTTCTCATGCAAACATGGTGGAGGGGCTGCAAAATGTGTATATGTGATGTACACTGTGAAGCACCTTTTCATATTATTTGCCATCTTTGTTATCTTTCTGATCCATTTTTTAATTAGGCTGTCTGTTTTCTTACTATTAGTTTAAAGATTTAAAAGATCTTTGCAGGGCTGGCAGAGTGGCTCAAGTGGTAGAGAGCCTGCCTAGCAAGCTCAAGTCCCTGAGTTCAAGCCCTAGAATGGCAAAGAAAAAAAAAAAAAAAAAAGGTCTTTGCATATTTTGGATGGTAGCCTTTGGTTTTTTTGTTTGTTTGTTTTTTTTCTTTGAGACACAGCCTCATTGTATAGCCCTGGCTGGCCTTGCTCTTGTAGTCCTCCTCACTTAGCCTCCCAGGGATATGCCACCATGCCCAGTTGGATAACAGACTTTTGTCAGTCTTTTTTGCAAATATTTTCTCAGTCTGAAACTTGTCTTATTCTTTGGACAGTCTTTTTTTTTTTTTGGTGGTACTGGGGTTTGAACTCAGCCTCATACTTGCTAGAGGTAGGCACTCTTTCCAGTTGAGCCACTCTGCCAATCCTTTTTTGTGATTTTTCTTTTTTTTTTTTGCAGTACTGGAACTTGAACTCAACACCTACACACCACTAGTCCTTTTTTATGAAGGGTTTTTTTTTGAGATGGGGTCTTGCAAACTATTTGCCCGGGTGGGCTTCAAACCATGATCCTCCTGTTCTCTGCCTCCTGAGTAGCTAGGATTACAGGTGTGAACCACCAGTGCCCGGCTTTTTTTTCTTTTTTTTTTTTTTTTTGAGATAGGTTCTTGTGAACTAGCAGCCCAGCTGTACCATCTTTTGCAGAACAGAAATTTTAAGTATTAATGTAGTCCAGCTTCCCAAATCTTTACCTCATGTCTTACTGTATGTATAGTTTTTGTGTTCTCCTTTTTTCACTTAAACTGTATCAAAATCACTTTCCAATTTGACTTCATCCTCATTGTCCTGGGCTGTGGCATATTAGTGACCAGTCTGTGTGGTTGTCAGCAGTCCCTGTTTGAGATAAGCAGGTCAAGGGTGACACCTGAACTGCTACTGTCCTGAAGTTCAAAGCCTGCAGGCTAAAGGATTAGCAGTTTTGTTGCATTTGGCATAGAGCGCTCTCTCTCAAGTACAACCCAAGACTGAGGGTTCTTAAATAAGCTGTTTGCTCTGGCAGTGGATGGGTTGTGCTCCAGGGCCAAGGAATTGAGGCACAAGCCTCTGTCAGCCAAGAACCTGAGAGAAATCTGTTTGCCTTATGCTGCTCATCTTTCCTGGTGGGTCTAGCCCTCTCTCTGTGTGGCTTGTGGCCATCCATCCTCTTTGTGGCAGCTGGAGCAAGCTCATTTCTGTATTTCTGTTCCACCTTCTCTCTAAGGAACTCCCCCAGGTGAGGAAGTAGATGATGTCCAGTGCTGGAGAGAGA